CCACGAATCATAAATTGCATCCAGTATGAATACTTTCTTCGTTCATAAAATTCGTCATGGCAAGATTTATTTTATATTGCTTTTGCGATTTGATAAGGCCTCAATCCTATAAGATAATACGACTTATAATAATAATGATTTATAGCAGAAAATCAAAATCATAAAATCAAAAGAACAGAACGTCTTCTGGAGTATTATAATCCAGTTATATATATCAAGATTTTCTAATTATTATTTTTTTAGTTTCATTTTTATTAGTTTTCTTTGTATTATTAGTACTATTAGTTAGTATTCTTCTATTCTTAGTTTGTGTACTTCTTCGGTTTGGGCGAAAAAAAATTGAATATATCTATTACTTTACTTTTTATAAATGAAGAAAAATCAATGAAAACGTATGCATCAATTTTCGACTTCAATTCGAATATTTTATTAGAGAATATATATACAAAAAAAATAAATACGAATCTAATTTTTTATCAAAAATATATTATCCAGAAAAAAAATGAATAAAAATAATATTTATAATTTTCTTTTATATCCTTTCATTTTCTTATAAAATAAGGAATATCTAAAAATATTTATATAATATATAGAAATAATATTAATAATTAGAATACCTATACCAAATTCCCCTCTTAGTTTATACAAATCATATATTTATTTATAATCATATTCCTATTCTATAAGAATCTATCTATCATATATAATATATTTATTTTGATATTTTCTACCCAATCATATTTATATATATATATATATATAATATTCATATATTATGTATATTCCGGTATAGATTTGAGCTATCAAACTTATAGTAATTCTTATCTTTTATAATTCTAGAAGCATCGATAACCGAAGATCTATAAATATACTTCTCGACGAAAATTCTTTGAGCGCCCTTTCATCTGAAATCGTCGATTTATTTTATGTACAAGAAATATATACTTATCCTTATAAACCAATAATCGATATCAGAAATGATACTTTCCATTAGGGTATAATAAGATGGTACAATCGCCGAATACCCATAAAGGTAAGCCTTGGATTTCTAGCCCAGAAACCTTCGTTTTACGCCTTCGGCTAAGCCTTTTTCACTTGTCGCTCTCACGCGTCAGGTCGTCCAAGACTCGTGCCCATTGGGCAGGGTCTTGCGTTGTAAGCAAAACACGAAGCGCAAAACGGCAGCCACAACTCTGTGCTCAGTGCGGCTTGGAGGGGTCGTGGAAGTGGAACTTCTCGACGCCCATGATGGGCATGAGGGAGTCGAAGATGAGGAACTGGCCGGCCGTGAGAGTTCCAATCATCACACACCTGGGGCCGAGGCCGGTGGTGCAGAGCTTCACGAAGCCAGTCTCCTTGGCGATGTTCATGAGCCGGGAGATCATGCTGCCATCGCCACCGGCACCCTTCTTGTTGATTTTGGAGAGCAAAGAGTCTGCCGGGTGGGAGATGATGGCCGCAGCGACGCCCGCAATGAAGCCGGAGGTCATGGACACGCCCATCTTGCTGCCCCGGCTCAGGTTCTCGCGCTTCGTGGGCAAGGAGTTGTAGATGCTGATCTCCGCCGTACCCTGGACTGCGAACTTGGCCATGGTGTATGGGATCTGCTTGAAGAGGATCGGCACAAGCCCTGCGTACCAGCCCATGATGCCCTCCCGCTGGATCAGTGCCTGCATGGCCGTGAAGGTGCCCTTGGGGAAGGTGGGGTCGGAGACCTGTCGAATGCGGGCAGCCTCCAAAGGGCAAAGGAAGATGTCAGCGATGAACTCCGCGCAGGCCGAGGCTCCCAACATGATAGGAGTCCTCATGTCCCATGCCTTTTGGTCTCCCAAGGATTTCGTGAACTGGATCTTGAAGAACTCGTTGCCACCGAACTTGAACCAGCCCTGCACGAAGTAGCCGGCCGCCGTGGGCCCAAGCCCAGTGGCCAACACACCCGCGCCCTCCTCGGCCACAACCTGGCGCCCGACGCTCAGGAGCCCACCCGGGTACTTCACCGGGTCCAGCTGGATGCGGGTCTTCACCACGTCCACGGGGCAGAGGGCGCCGTGCGTGATGGAGCAGCAGATCCCGCCGCAGAGCGCGCCGTTCAGGTAGTACTTCGGGTCATACTTCGCCCAGTTGTAAGTGGACATGGTGCAAAAGCGCAGAGTCTGACTAAGGCAGAAAGCACGCCGTCCCACTGAGCTTGAGCTGGGAGACACACAAACTTTCAGGCACGTTCGGCAAGCTGCATGAAGGGACTTTCGAGCTCTGCAGAGGTCCGTCTACAGCTGTAGCATGACAAAGCGCAATGGGCATCTCTTTGCGCGCAGTACAGAGCTTGTGTGCTCGGCAGCTGGAGCATGTTGCACCGCACGCCTGCACAACCGATCCAATCGCAATGCTGCAAGCCTTCACGTGATATGCATTGCATGGTCTTTCACGTAGGAAGACGTAGGCAAATGATGATCATCACAACAGCAAAGCTCTGCCATAACTTCGAATCCGTAATCCCAGAGACCATCATGATTTCTGCCTACTTACTATAGTTGCCCAAACAGAGACACTCTCTTACAAGACGTACATAATTATGTACATCCGTCCATCCATCCATAAACAAACATAGCTTGCCACCCAGCTTCACTCCATCCCGACACCAGTACCCAGCCTTCACTTGCCACGCCGTGCAATCTGCAGGCGCTGTCGCTTTGACAGTCGCTGCGCGCCCGACTGCCGCGGAGCCCGGCGCACCCGCTCCTGAGAATCGGATTCAGGCGACCTATACTCCAAGCCTATAAACCGCAAACCCACAAAATTAGGATTCTGGCTCTCTACAACTATGCTAAACCCCGAGTGCACATTAAGTCGAAAAACCGCAATCCCCAACCCAGCCAGGCCTGTAGCTGCTGGAAAAGGCCCCAAAGGGCCTTGCTGGGCGCCTGGCCATAGTTTAGGGGCTTTTGACGGTGTTGGGGCCCAAAAGACTATAAATATAAACAATAAGGAACCCCCAAAATGGTATAGGTAATTCTTTAGGCCCCTATAATACTTCATTCGTTTCTTGAGAACTGTAGAAGTCGAGGCAAATTACGGGTTTCGGGCAAAGCTGTTGTGGGGTGCTTGTTGGTTTGGGGTTTCGGTGGTGTCCAAGTCCTTCAGGTCTTAACTAGCTTTACCTAACCTGCTTTTTTGTAACCTATAAATTCCATAGTCGGGTTGATCATAGGAACCTACAAAAAAGCAGGGTTCGGTAGTTTAAGGCAGTCGTTCGTACACGGGGGTTCTGCGTGGGACTTGCGCGCCTTCAGACTAGGGCTGAGTCAAACGAAATTTCAGCATCTCAGTCTTTAGGTCTCCAGGTTTAAAGCTTAATAATTGCTTAACAACTTAGTGCGGGTTGGTTGTAGTGATATTGATCTGCTGACTGCTGTGCATCTCGATCCCGGTCTTGCTGCAGACGCGATTACGGCCATGCTTGGCCATGATGACGACTCTGATGATGCCCTCCATACTGCTGTGGTGCTGACGTTTGTTGTGATTAAGACTCCAGATACTGTGGAGCATCAGCCAGCATCATTGCTACTACCAATATTTCTCAACCCGCAAAGAGCCAAGTTCTTTGCAGGTTTGCGCATGCTACAGCATCACCCTTGGTTTTGATCTGCTGATAATGAGGATGCACAGTGAGTGTGGCAATTTCGCTATCTGACAAACGTGCAGAAACACCTAGATGATCATGGCTACGATCGATTTGATAATGGCGATAGTGCGCATGATGACGAGGCTTCTGGTGGTGATCCGTAGTAATGATAAGACAAGACGAGGCGAAATGAATCGCAAACATCCCAAAACCCCAAACCCGAAAACCCTAAACCAAAAACCCCCCAAATCCCCAAACACCAAAACCCTAAACTCAAAGCCCCAGAACCCTTAACGCAAACCCCAAAACCCCAAAACTCCGAACTCGAAGCACCAAAACCCCAAAACCCCCCAAACCCTGAACTCAAAACCACCAGCCCTAAACCACTGGCCGGGTTGGCTGCTTTGCGGCCACGGTCCAGATCTTCATCGCCCTCATCGAGGACAAGGTCTGCCTGAGGGTTGGGCTGAGGGTTTTTAGGTTTGCTTGGGTTAGGGGCTTGGGGTTTTAGGGTTTAGGATTTTAGGGGCTTGGGGTTTAGGAGCAATTGAGGAGTTCGGAATAGCAAGTCTGGGGCCAGTAGGGTTTATAGGGCTTCCTGCTTGCAGAAATTGCTGCTGCCGCTTTGCTGAATTCTAAGCAGGGGACCCATCACTGAAGACTTCAACCACAACTAGTTCGGTGACGAGACATTAACGTAGTGCAGCAGAAGGAGCAGAAGCCTCTATAGGTGTGATCGGTGTTGATGTTCAGGAGATAAACGAGTGCCTTTGACACCACTTTGTCGTGCAAGCGGCAAACTGAGTCCAAACCACCAGGATCCAGGTGGATATGCATATGTATATACATACATATATATATATATATACATATATATATGTACACATATATGCTTGCAACTTGCTATGTAACTGTGATTATGACTACAGTCGCAGAGCAAGTTTCTAGCAGATCTATGATGATGGCAGTGACTTCGGAGCCGGCGGTAGTGTTGCGGGCTTTTTAAAACTCGGAACAAAGGATCATGGTACTTGGTAACTAGGGTTATTATGAGGGTAACTACACTTATAACTCCAATTAGTATACTTATAACTATACTGAACTTAGAACCCTAGCAAAAAAATGCAATTTTAGTTTCTTAGGGATTATAATAACAAAAAATAAAAAAATAAGTACCCCTGAGAACTAAAAAGCTGTCAGACATCGCTTGCGGCCACCACGAGACGATGCAAATGTCATGTCCGACGTCGGTGAATGCTCATCCCAATATACACAAAGCGAGGCACAATATCTTCGCCGATTGCCGCACGCGAGTGATCCCGGATCACCAGCTATAGAATGATGCGATATCGCTCTGTGCCAGCTGGCTTCCGCACACGTATACAACAGCTTCTACCTCCGAAAACGAAGGAGAAACAATGTAACAACAAAGAAGGTCACGTCGACAACCTGTCTCAAGGCTAGCCCCCGAGAGCACACATGTGAAAGCATGCACGCGTACTCTATGGCAAAAAACCCTAAACGCCTCCTCGGCTGCACGCCGCAGCCAGCTTTTCTCGTTCGAGGCTTTGGACGTCTGGTGGACCTCCAAGCGATTTTTGGATATTTCACAATATGGCTCTAGGCTTGTGGCTTCTATGGTTTCACAGCGCATCTTTATAGGGGCATACAGGGCTATAAGAGGCTTTCTACAAGAACTCAAAGGCAGATGGCACATAATTCACAGCACGCAGCTTAGCACATGGATCCGGCACTATATACCGGAGGGAAAATGAGGGAACGAGTCGTATGCCATGCATGGGTACCAACTTTTCGGAGGGATGGGGGGTGGTGAAGGCAGGGGCGAAAGCCTCCAAGCCCCTTTTAGAGGGAGGGGGCTGGCCCTCAACATACCATATGCATAATACCAAATCAAACACCCAAAACTACTCAAAATTTATTTCAACATGGACAACGTGGCACACTTTCTTGGAGGCACTCACGCTGTAATCTCCGGGGCTTTTGCACGTGCACGCCTGGATTGCTGGAACCGAGGCGTTAGGTGTACATGTGCGTATATACGCACATATTATAATAAGGACCTTATAATAAGGATTTACAAGTGCAGCTACCTGGCTATAGCGCTACACACAGATAGATGGCACATCCGCGAGCCCGAACCGAAACACTGAATCCCAAGCCCTACACCCTAGATCCAAAGCCTACAGGCACGGAACAAACAGCGAATGGTCCTGCTTGGAGCTCCAACAACAAAACACATACCTCCAGAAAATCCCGACTCAGAAAACCCCCGTCTGCAATTCATGGAAAGCACCCATGATTCCAAACCGAAACCCAAGCTGCAAGCCCAAACCAGAAGGCCCTAAAACAACACAACAAAAACCTGATAAAACCCTAATTACAAAACGTGGAAAACTTCCGAAGCGCTGAAACCACTTGAGTCCTCCTCTCTACACCCTAGACAGAAAAACGCTGAATCGCAAAATCATCAAGAACTGAATCCACTAAACCGAAAACCCTTTTGTCAAAAGCCAGTAACCTTCTTTTCCAGGTCGGCGGCTAACCTGGCAGCCTCGAACTGACTCTCAGCTTCAGGAGGGATGTTGAATTAGGGATTCCAGATCATAGGGCCCCCAAAAAGCACATAGGCAAAAATTAGGATAGGGATATCCCATATAAATCCCCTTATAATGAAGCCCAATAAGGTGAGATATCCCCATAAAATGCTTATGCTTATGTGCTTTTTGGGTCCCCAAGATCATTAGCTTTTCGGGGTTCAGGGTTTTAGCGGTTCAGCCTTTTCAGCTTTTGGCGCTTCAGGTTTCGGGGTGTTGGGTATCAGGGCTCAGGAGTTCCTTCGGGTTTGCATGCTCCATAAAACGCTTCCGCGGGTGCAAACAGGACTACTTAAAGGATCATGGGACTTAGTAATTGGGGTTGTTATGAATGTAATGAAAATTAACCCCAATGGGGGTACTTATAACCGTACTTACTAAGTCCCATGACCCTCCAAGTACGATCGTCCTTCGAATCTGCAGTAGCTTTAGGGTTTGGGGGGCTGTAAAGGGATCATGATCCATGTATGGCTGTGCCTGTATAAGGGGGGTCAAGTGCGGTTCAACGCTAAGGCGTGTTTAGCTGAAGAGACTTGGCGGCTTTAAACAAGGAGATGGGGGATTGGAAATTGAAGGTTAGGGTTCAGAGAGCGTGTGGCCGGCTCGCCAACACCACAACAAAGACGGCGGCGACTAACAGTGCGAATCAAAACAAGTTCGGTGAAACAAAGTATCAGCGCTGACATAGCAAGCAGCACTGCCTCCTTCGCTGCATTGATGGCCTCCGGGACGAGGGGAACCGCTTCCACCCGCTCCTCACGGCGCGAAGCTTTCCGGGTTCAGGGAACTTGTCATTCTCGAGGCCCTCAAACACCTCAAGATCTTGAACCCGCAGCCCTGAACTCAAAAGCCTGAAGCCCAACTCCAGCCCGCAAGGCGCCTCCTTGCCTGAAGCGGGCATTGCGTTTTGTTAGCCAAATCCACCGATCTTCTGCACTGAAAGCTCTTGAATTTCTGAACCTTACACCCTAGCCCCTCAACCCTGAACCCTAAGCCATATATTCATAATAATCCCTGGTCCTTCGTGACCCCAACGGCTTGGTAGACCTGCAACGAGGGAGAAGGGCTCTGGATGGCCCTTGGGGTTTGAGGGTCAAAAGACTTCGCGGCTTTTTTGCAGGGCTTTGGATGAGGGCGGCTTTGGGGGATTAGGGGCCGTCTACTTGGAGCGACAGGGAGGCTGTGACGGCGCGCTATCTCATATTCTCCAACACAGGATGCTTACCCAGTGCGCGTGAGACCGCAGAGGTTTGCATTATTTGCAGCATTCAGTGCTGTCATCAGTTGAGCTGTCAATGTGTTCGGCATTGTACTCCGGCGACTGTTGCTGATGTTGCAGCTCAGATCCGTACCATCTGCCTTTTTCGCTGCTAGAAGTAATGTTGGATTGGTGTTGTCGAGGCACATCAGACATGAGCGGGAAGACTCGCATCACTAATACTTATCCTCGTTATTCAGAAGAACCACCAGTAGCTCGTACCCATACCCCAACCATGTAAGTCAGTGAATCTGCACATGAAGGAACAAAGCCTTGCCCCAATGGCGGATGTCATTCGGCGACACAAAGGCGATGGTCTCTCCTTCCAACCGGGGGTTCAGTGGCCCAGGTGCTGAGGACAAGTTAACAAAAGAGCACCACCAGCATGATTAGCATCATGCTCTTGATACTGTTGTCAGTAGTAGTGGAGCTCT